AGAATCTTACCATCCTCTGGAGCCTCTCTGATCCTCATCCAAGGCAGACAAAGGCCCTCTGACCTCTGGCGTTTGACCCACAGGCCGAGGCGGACGTGGCCTCCCTGAACCGTCGCATTCAGCTGGTAGAGGAGGAGTTGGACCGGGCGCAGGAGCGCCTGGCTACGGCCCTGCAAAAGCTGGAGGAGGCTGAGAAGGCCGCTGACGAGAGTGAGAGGTGGGCAGGGGGCCTTCCAGGGGGCGGGCCAGGGAGGGGCCGGGGGCCTGTCTCTGCTGCTCCTGACCCCACTTCCACCCTGTTCCCTGCCCCTCAGAGGAATGAAGGTCATCGAAAACCGAGCCATGAAGGATGAGGAGAAGATGGAGCTGCAGGAGATGCAGCTGAAGGAGGCCAAGCACATTGCTGAGGATTCAGACCGCAAATATGAGGAGGTGACAGCCCTGCCCCACTTCCTTCTCCCTCCCAAACCCCAGATGCCCCCAGCCACTCACCAGGGCTGTGCTCCTTCTGTCCCTTGCCGCCCCCCCCCCCCCGCAGGTGGCCAGGAAGCTGGTGATCCTGGAAGGAGAGCTGGAGCGCTCAGAAGAGAGAGCAGAGGTGGCTGAGAGGTAAGGGGACCCTGGGGCGGCAAGTGAAACTCGGCCTGGTCCTGTGGCTCTGGGGCACTCTGGACCGTGGGAGGCAGTTTCCCAGGCTTGGGGCCATAGGGACAGGTCCTGTTCTCTGACCCCTCACTGCTGCCCCCAGCCGAGCCAGGCAGCTGGAGGAGGAACTCCGAACCATGGACCAGGCCCTCAAGTCCCTGATGGCCTCAGAGGAGGAGGTAGTGACCTCTCTGGACCTTTCTGGGCCACGGTGCCTTCTCTCAGTTCACCTTCCCCCCAGTCTCAGGCTGTGCTCTCCGCTGCTGGGGGTTGGGAAGGGCCTGGGGCTTCCAGACTCGGCCTGCTGTCACTCTCACAACTTTGCTCTTTTCTCTCCTCCACCCCTTCCGCACTGCGCCATCCCCACTGTCTCCCACACTGTGCCCTCACACCCCCCTGCCACACACCCCCTGCAGTAAATGTGGGGACCTAGAGGAGGAGCTGAAAATTGTTACCAACAACTTGAAATCCCTGGAAGCCCAAGCGGACAAGGTAGAGGGGGTTAGAGGGGCAGTGAGGATGGGGTCCTTCAGGGGAGGGCGGCGCTGGGCCCAGGCAGGGAGGGGCTGGGTGTTCCCTGGAGACAAGACCAGGAGGAGCCTGCGGGCTCAGTGGAGCGAAGGATTTGTGGGGGCGATCTCCTGACGGCATGTGTATGTCCCTAAAAGTATTCCACCAAAGAAGATAAATACGAAGAGGAGATCAAACTGCTGGAGGAGAAGCTGAAAGAGGTGAGAGTCCTTTCGGTCCCCACTCTCGCCTTGAGCCCCCCGTCCCCTTCAGAGACTGCCCGTGGCAAGGACTTTGGGAATAGGGCTGGAAGAGGAGGTTGACGTAAGTGAAAGTATCCGGGACGCCCTAATTTTTGTCATTCCCCCGTGTTACCTTTACTCCCAGGCTGAGACCCGAGCAGAGTTTGCTGAGAGGTCTGTGGCAAAGTTGGAGAAGACCATTGATGACCTGGAAGGTAAAGGGATACCCTCCTAACCCCAGGGCCTGTTTAAGTGGGTCCCCACTCCCCGTGACTGTCGGTCCGTCCCTTATTTTCCCATTACGTCTGTCCCGGGTTAATTTATCCGGGTGTTGGACCACCTCGGACTCCACCAGCTCCCGGGTCTGTGCCCACCATTCAGGTAGTTGCACCTGGGTGCAGTGTGCCCACTCCAGCGATTTGCAAACTTGAGTGTGCATGAGAACACCTCCGAGAATTTTTATTTTTTACTTTTATTTTTGTTAAGATTTTATTTATTTATTTGACAGAGAGAGACACACAGAGAGAGGGAACACAAGCAGGGGGAGTGGGAGAGGGAGAAGCAGAGCTCCCGCGGAGCAGGGAGCCCGATGCGGGGCTCGATCCCAGGACCCTGGGATCATGACCTGAGCTGAAGGTCCGAGAATTTTTAAAACACAGATTCCTGGGTCCTACTCCAAAGTGATTGCTGACTTTGGGCTGGAGAATTTGTATGTCTAACAAGCTCCCTGGTCATGGCAATGCTGCTGGTCCTCAGACCACACTTTGACTAGCTCTGATCTAGACAGTTCATCCCCAAATGCAACACAATAGCGCTCTGTCACAAAGATCTTTTTATTAAATATAGAGAGATTTGGCTTAGTATCTAAGTATTCATGACATTACTAGAAAATACTATTTTAAGCTAGATTTGATGAAAATGAACATCCAGGTATTTACTAATCTGTGGCTCTTTCTCATTAGTAGCAAGAATGTCATTCCTAAACTGTATTTTCTTTTTCTTCTATGGTAACCCTTTCGCTTTCGTAATTCCCACTTCTCGTGCTTCTAGCCTTCTCAGGCAAGCCTCAATTTTATCTCCAACTTTAGGACCTTAGTCCTTTCTGGCCCCAGCCCCTTCCCCTTGAAGCAAGCACTCCTGCTCATTCAAAGCACTGTGCCCCCATGTCCCTGGGGGGGGGGGGTTGGACCAATTTAGTCTCCAGAGAAAAAAGAGACAGGGGTACAGAGAGGGGAGGAGGGAGCCCTCATGGCTGTGCAGCCTGTTCTCTGGCCTGTTTCTGTCACTCCATCTTTGTCCACCTCTCTCTGATTCTTGTTTTCTCTTTCCGTGACCCTCTCTCCTTCCTTTCCTCTCTCCCTCCATTCCCTCTCCCCGCACTCCCATCCGGCCCCCTTCCCCTGGACTCCTCCCCCGCCCCAGACGAAGTCTATGCCCAGAAGATGAAGTACAAGGCCATCAGTGAGGAACTGGACAACGCACTCAACGACATCACCTCCCTCTGAGTCCCACACCAGTGTGGCCCCCTCAGCCCCTTCTCTCTCCTCTTTCCATTCTCTGTCCGTGGGGAGGGGGCAGGCAGGAGGAGCAAACCGGTCAGCATCACACAGCCGGGCTGGGCGCGGCCTTGGAGAGCCCCGGCGCACCTGCCGCCCGCCTTGGCACCTGCTTCATCCTTCTATCCGCCCACTCCACCCTCCAGCCTCTACCTCTTTCTGCTGCTTAATAAACTCAACTTGGTCTCCGTGCTGTTTTCCTGCCCTCCAGAGAGCACTTCCATCACCCCCACAGAGATGCTGGCTCTTCCAGACACCCCCAATCTTGTGACCCCCCCCCGCGCGCACTGAGCTCACCCACAGAGCACTGTGGCCCACGCAGAAGCCCCTCCACACAGCACTCTCAGTGTCTCACTGCTTCACGGGGGCACCTGTCACCCCATCAGTCACCGCGAGCCCTCTGCCGCCTCTGAGAGACGCGCTCTCGTGTGGACCCAGGCCTGTCACTGACCTCAGAGCACTCCGCTGTGGTTCCAGGATAAAGGAAAGATTGGAGGGGAGACGGGTGGGGAGGTGCCAAGGAAGGGCAAGAAGGTGGTGAAAGGTCTAGGGTGACGTCTGGGAAGACGCTGGATGCCAACAACATGGGGATCTCCCTGCAGCTCTGTTTTCTGCCTCAGGTCTGTCTGTCTGGCCCTCCCCTTTCTGGCTCAGTTTTTGTCTTTCCTTCTGTTTCCGACTCTCGTAAACCCTGTAAGGAAGGAGGTAAAGTAGTTTCTGACTTAGACCCTCCCATCCCACCCCCATGACCCCGAAGCCTCAAGTGAGGCGTCCGTGTCTGTCTTGGTCAGTCCGTCCATTTGCCCCCGGCACAGGAGCCTCAGATTCCTTCATGCTTATGTCCTCCTGTGCCCCCATCCCATTCCAAGTTTGCCTCAGCCCCCATCTCCCCTCGTGTCTCCCTGCCCCTCCTCACGTGCTGCTTCCCCTCGCAGAGACCTTGGCCAGTGCCAAGGAGGAGAACGTGGAGATTCACCAGACTCTCGACCAGACCCTGCTGGAACTCAACAACCTGTGAGGGTGGCTCTGCCCCCAGCCGGGCTGCCGTCGCCGCCCCAACGCAATAAAGTGGATGTTACCGGCATCACAGGGCCCTTCCAACCTTTCTTTGGTGTTGGCGATGGTGGTGATGGTTTCCCAAAGTAGAAAGGCTAAGAGGATGCCTGAGGGGAGCAGTGGCGTTGGAAGGGCCCCTGCGTGACCACGCTCCACAGTAGGACTTCCTTTGCTAAGGGAGCCAAGAGGTGGGGGCAGTGGGTTCACTGAGGAGGGTTGTGACCAGGCTGTGTGAAGCAGAGAGGCCCCGCTGGGCTGGGGGGACATCCGGGCCTTTCTACCCGCAGGGCAAAGGAGCTGCTGTCCGCGGCGCTGCCCCATTCCAGCAGGCCGCCAGTCTGAAGGCAAAACTGCAAAGCTACACAGATTTTACTTGAGCAGGGTGAAAGCCCAAAAGCCTCACTATGATTTTAAGCCTAGAGGCTAAGCCTGCCCTACCCCCAGACACATACACTGCTGTGGGTGTGCCCACGGTCATTCTAACTATCTCAGTCACTTCCGCCCCGTTCCCGAAAACATCTGTACTAGGCAGTAATGCCCCCCACCAAACCGTCCACACCTTAATCCTGTGAAATGTTACCTTACACGGGAAAAGGAACTTCATGATTAAGCTAAGGATTTTGAAATTGGGAGATTATCCTAAGTTATCCAGGTAGGCCCAATGTAATCACAAAGGTTCTTATAAGAGGGAGGCAAGGTCAAAGGCAGTTGTAAGAGATAGACAACAATGGAAGCGGGAGGCTGGAGAGATATGAGGAAGGGGCCACAAGCCAAGGAATCCTTGGCTTCTAGAACCTGAAAAAGGAAACCCCCTCCCCTCAAAGTGTCCAGAAGGAACCAGCCCTTGCTGACACTTTGACTTCAGCCCAGAAGATTCATTTTGGACTTCTGACCTCCAGAGCCCTAAGAGGGTAAATTTGCATTACCATTAAGTTTGTGGTGATCTGTTAAAGGCAGCGATAGGAAATAAATACACCATCCTCCTGATTTGGGGAACAAAGCTGCCTTCCATATATTTTATTAGAAACATTTATTTAAAAAAATATTTGGACCTAAAAAAGGAAGTGGTTATAAAGGGTAGGACAGGACAAAATCTCCAGCTCGCCCTCAGATTCTTCGGGCTGGCTTCTCTGCACATTCTCCCAAGTTCCAGGGCCTCTAGGCAACCGTCTCCGTGACCTCTGCTGGGTGGTAGCTAACATTGCCTTTGGTCCCCCTTCGGAGTCTACACGACAGCAAACACAAAAGCCCAATCAGAAAACTCCCCCTCCAGATGAGCTCCTTTGCATGCAGAGTTCCTGAAGCTGTTCTGGACCCGTCCAGGGAGGTGGGACTGTGGCTGAGGAAGGGGCAGCGGGAAGCGGGCAGGTATACCTTTGCTGCCTTCTCATTTGCACAAGGAAGGCGGTGCTGGTGGCTGCAAAGAGGAGGCCGAAAACCAGGGCCAGGATGTCACCTGGAGGGAGAGGAGAGGCTGCCTCAGAGTGACGAGGGGTCTGCAGGATTCCCTCGGCCGGCTGCAGCAGATCCCCCGCCCCTGCCCCCCAGGTTCTCCAGCTGCCTTCAGTGTCAGAATCCAGAAGAGGCCAGCAAAGGGATGGGGGTGGATACCCAAGGAGGAGTAAGATGAGCACCTCTTTTCTTACCTAAAAGAGGTTGTTTGGGAAGGAGGATGCTAGGAGATCTCTGGAGCTTCATTCTGATCAACTTTTGCCCTGGGGGCAGAGGAACGCCCTCCCCCCTTGATCTGACTATCTTATTGGGGTGGGAGGTCTGTTCTGCAGAAAAGGAGAGGGGGTAGAGGTGGTCCTCGCCCCTGAGGCTGAACAATGCCACGGGGTCAGGAGCCAGAGATGGGGCACAGACTCACCAGCAGCAAGGCAGGAATTCAGGTGGACTGAAGAGGAAAAGGACAAATTAGGACCAGGGCCAGTGACACCAGTGACAGACACAGGCACCAATGAAGACACATGGGAGGGTGAGGGACCTGTGGCGGAGGGGAGGGGGCGGCGCACACAGCAACACGGGGCACCGGAAAGCCGCACCTGGCTCAACAGTCCTGGGGCTGCTCTCCACTTCAGTGGGGAAGGAGGCCTCGATCATTCGCCCATTCAAAGGCTGCGTGGCTCGGAAGTTCAGCTGTAGCCGAGAGTCATCAGGTCCCCACAGGGAGCCAGACAGGGTGTGGAGCTAGGGAGGTCAGGAGACAGTGGGGGTGGGCTCGTGACAAGAAAATGAAAGGGTCACAGGCCCACTCACAGCCAGCACCTCAGGGCTTCACCCGCTATGTCCTCTGCTTCCCCCGTTTGGCCGCTTCATCTCTTTATCCACCTTGATCTCATCCTTACACCCCTTTCCCCCACATCCCCTGTGTCACCATCATGCCCCAGCCCCACCTGCTTAGCGCTCAGCCTCACTGTCTGGTTGAACACAGTCCAGATGACCCCCTGGGCACAGGGGGGTGTGGTTAGAGACCCCTCATAGCGGAAGTAGCGGCTGAGGTCAGCAGGCAGCAGTGCAGATACATCCAGTCCTGGGACCCAAGTCTCCGAGTCTGTAGAGAGGACCTGTGCTGGAATCCCACCTGGATTGCTTCCCTCCAAAGCTTTGGGGTGCAGGGATAAGTTTCACCTCCCAGAAGCCAAGCTGGTGCAGCTTCCTGAGACCACGTCTTCGCTAAGTGTGTCCCTTCCCATAACTCAGCACAAGACCTAACTCAGAAGAAGGTAAAGGGCTGTGGGGCCTCACAGAGTGAAAGAAGTGCTCCCAAGGTCCTCCCTCTGAGTCTTTGCTCTTACTTTGAGTTCTATGATAACATGCTGGACTACAGATTTAAACCCAAAATGAATCAAAAGGGAAAAATGAGCTGAATAACTTGTAAATCAATATAAACATTTGAAACCATAAAGAACAGACACAAACACAGTTCCCTCTAGTTTAGTAAAATGTAAGTTCCGGTAGTGAGGTTTAAAATTACTCAGAGTGGCTGAGAAGGGAAAGATTTCCAACAAAAGTACAAATTTAAAATAGTTGATGCTTTATGAAGGAGAAATAGACAGTTTTCAGAAAAATTTTAGCTCCCTGGACTCAACCTCTGAAGTTCCAAATGCCTTTTTTTTTTTTTTTTTGTATCTTCTTTTGGTTTTTGTTTGATTTGGGGTTTTGTGGGGTTTGGGTTTTTTGGGGGGATGGGATGAGGTTTTCATCTGTTTGTTTTGGTTTTTAGCCATAAAGCCTGTGGGCCTCTGCTCAGCTTTATAATTATTGTCAAGATCATAGTTAGTTCACACATTAGTTCCCTGCATTTGGGAGGGAGCCCATCTCCATCCTCACACCTGAGGCTCCCCAAGGAGAGTTCTTTATGAACAAGGGTATTGAGGGTAGTGGCCAAACCAACAAACTGACCTTCCTCAGTGATTTCTTCCAAATGTGACAGCAACTGCTCGTAGGCACTGTTTTCTTCTGGGCCCTCCTGGGAAATGACAGTACAAGACACGTTCTTACAGGTATCTAAGGCCATGCACGGCTGGAGGCCTGAAGGTGAGGTGGGCTTCCCATACCTCCCCTCCCCCCCTTTCTCAAGCTCTGAGAATGCTGGGAGAACACAAAATCTGTGTATTACTACTCAATTTACTTTTATTTTGCAAACGAACCTAACCTGCTTGGTGGGCTGGTTTTCAAGGGTAAATTGGAGGAGGAGGAAGGTGGGCCACTCTCCTAGGATAGGAGGCCCTCAGTGACCTGGGTTCTACTATCTTTTCCAGTCTCACTGATCCTACCTCCACATACACACTCATGGTCTCCCCACAGAAAACCATAATAACCTTTGTATTCACGTTTCCTCTACATTCACCTTAAGAATTGATGTGTTTGACTTTGGGAGCAAGGACATGCTATCTCAGAGGCCCTGCTCTGAACTTTGTGCTGTGAGGCTGGCGTTAAGGAGTCAAGCAGTGACTGAGCCTATAAGGTATCTCACCATCCCTCCATTTTACTAGCCTCCTCTAATCACTGTGTATGTAGCCCTGTTTGTTACAGGTCCAAAGAGGTCACTAAATATTTCTCTAGACTTTATTGCATTTCACAAAATGGAAAGTACAGGTTATAGGAGTATTCAAGAAATTACTCTTCTCCCCTCCGTTCCACCGACCATTCCCTGAGTGGGTCATATTCTTAGTCCACATACACTGTTGGCTCTGCATGGAATATCTCCTTTTCTTTCCCACTACTGAAGGCTTCAAGTTTGACCTCTGTGAAGTTTTCTCTGACCACCTCTTTTACTATGTCTGCGCCTTTTTGTCTTTCAAGTCAGCCTCCTCCACCGGCTGTGGGCGGAGCCACGGTTTCGGAATCCTTTGTGCGGCTCAGTGCCTGGCCTACAGGGGGTGTTGAATGAATTAATGAGTGAATGAGGAATACCAGGTGCCAGCTTGCGTGTGCCAGGATGGGGTATCTGGGGTCAAACTACCCTGAGCCCTGGGGCGTGGGGAAGCAGGGGATAGGGGTGTCCAGGGCTGGTACCTGCAGAAAGGCGGCCAACACGGCCAGCCCCCCCGGGCGTCCCAAGGCCTCATCAACTTTGGCAAATGCAGTGCTGAGGTGAACCACATGGATCTGGAGAGAAACAGAGGGTAGAAGTGGGCAAGACCCCCGGCCCAGCGCCCCCCTTCGCCTCTCCGCTATGCGCTCACCTCGGCTGGGAAACGGTGGCCGTCAACCGTGTGCTCCGAGCCCGGGCGACCCGCAGCCCCCCAGTGCAGATGCAACTGCAGGGCCCGGTACTCCCGCCCGGGGCCCAGGGCCATCTCCAGCCCCGGAGGCAGAATCAGCTGCACTGAGAGGGAAGAGGCAGCTGAGCCCGGAGGGCCAACCTACCCGGGAGGGCCAGCCTAACTCCCAAGCACACGCCTGGCCGGCCCTCGGCACTAGACCCCGGCCCAGCCCCAGATAGTCTCTGCCCCCTCCCTGAGACTCCGCCGCGAGACCACTCTCCCCCGCCCCCCGCCTCACCCGTGTGGCCATTGTTGCGCAAGCGCAGTTCTGGGAGTGGCGGGAGCTCAAAGCCCAGGAGTTCCAGGGGTTGCAGGGCCGGACAAAATACTGCGAGCTCTGGGCGGATATCTACCGGCGATTGGAAGCGGCCTGCACAAGCTGGGGACACCTGGGGCCAGGGCGGGTCGCCTGGAGTGAGAGCGTGGACAGGAAGTCTGGTGACAAGATCAGGAACACTTCGGAAAGCGGGGTAGAAAAAGTGAGGGGGGGCGCCTGGGCGGCTCAGTCCTTAAGCGTCTGCCTTTCGCTCAGGTCATGATCAAGGCCCGCATCGGGCTCCCTGCTCGGCGGGAAGCCTGCCTCTCCCTCTCCCACTCCCCCTGCTTGTGTTCCCTCTCTCGCTGTGTCTGTCAAATAAATAAATAAATAAATAAATAAATAAATAAATAAATAAATCTTTAAAAAAAAGAAAAAGTGAGGGGGTGGAGTGAGAAGGCCTAGGGCGGGAAATAGAAATCAGGGTTGTGGACAGAGACAGGGAGCCGGCGGTGCTGGGGACTGGCAGACAAGGATGCAGTGGGTGGGACGCCCAGGAGCAGAGTTCAGGATGGCTGGGGGCTCACATCAGCAGAGCAGGGTGACCAGGTTGGGTGTGCAGGGCGTGGGTGTCTCACCTCCATAGCGCCAATGACCGTGGTCATCCCCTGCATCAATGAGAAGGATGAAAAGCCGATCTTTAAGCCTAGTCCCTCCCCAGCAGCCAGAAAGAGGTGGGTCCCCCTCACTAGTAGGGGTTCTCCAACTCAGATACCTTACAGGGGCATAGCAGGTAACCGAAATGCCTAACGTGGCCAGGTATAAAGCACAACAGATTGCAACCAAACATAACACCGTGGCTTGGTAGACCAAAGCGCCTACTGGCCCCGGAGATAGTTTGCAACTGCTACCTCAGTCTGTAAAGTGGGGGGGGGCCTCAGTCCCCAGGCCCAAATCAATACACCCTCTTCCCTTTCTCCTGTCTCCAGCTCCCTTCCCAAGGTTCCTGGTTTCTGAGTCAAACTATCAGGTTCCCCTACTTGCTATTCCTTCTTCCTAGGTCTCAGTTTCTTCATCTGGAGACTGAAGAGGTGATCTCTACAAGCCCTTCTGGCTCTTCCTTGGCTACCCACCCACCCCCCGCCATCTTTCCTCTTTTCCTCCCTCATAGTCTTACTTCTCTCCACCTATGTCTTCTTCCTCATCTCTTTCTCCTCTCCAACCTCCTCTTTTCTTTCTCATCTCTTCCTGCTCACCTCTCTCCATCTGTGCTTTTTTGTCTCCCCATTCATCCCCTTCGAGCTCTGATGGGGAAGAGGTTCCCTGGGGATGGGAAAGGCTACTGTCAGAGTACAGGCTCCTTTTCTTCTCTGAATAAATCCCTGCCGGGGCTGGGGTTTAGTGAGGGGAGGACAAACCTCCTGGAGGCTAGATTTGGAGGGCTGATGACCACTTACCTTTGTTGTGCCTGTGGGCATTATTCTGGGAGCCTGGGGGGTCCCTGGGTGCCTCAACAGTAGGCAGATCCTCTAACTTCAGAGAGTCCTCTTTTCCTGGTTCAGTCTTCATTCCAGATGGGTCCTCCTCTCCAGGTGGGTCCTCCTCTCCAGGTGGGTCCTCCTCTCCAGGTGGGCCCTCCTCTCCAGGTGGGTCCTCCTCTCCAGGTGGGCCCTCCTCTCCTGGTGGGTCCTCTTCACTGGGTAGGTTTTCCTCATCCAGCTGATCATCTTCCCCAGATGAATCTCCTCCCAGCCCGGCCGACCCCTGCATCCGGGACAGGCTCTGGGGCTGGGCGGGCACCAGGAGCAGCAGTACCAGCAGCAGCTGCACAGCAGGGCCTGGAGAAGGGGCCGGGATCCACAGAGGGAGCCGGGGACTGGGGCACAGGGGAGCCATGCGGCTGACTGCGGGGTGTCCCAGACACGGTGTGTACGGGCTGTACGTGCATCGGAAACAGGAGCTGGGTGGGGGAGGAGCAAGCCTGGAGGGGAGCAGGCTGACTCACAGAGGGCCCTTTTGTAGAGATGGAGCCAAAGTCCCGTGGGTCTGCCTGGCCCTGTGCCCCTTCCCCGATACCAAAGCCTGGATGGGGGTGGTGTGAGGGGCAGGTATGTGCACAGGCAGGAGGTTATCGGGGTCACAGGCTCAGCCTGGAACCCAAGGCACCACCTGGCACTACACAGGCTCTCCCTGGCACCGCCCAGCTGCTCACCAGCCAGCCTCAGCTAACCCTGGCCTGCTTCCCAGCCCCAGGAAGAGAAGGGGAAAGACAGGGAGTTGGGGGCCCCACAGCCTCTGGCTGAGAGGGGAAGCAGCCCATGGATATATCCCTGGCCTAGCCAGGGAGCAGATACAGGGGTAGGACAAGCTGTTGGGGAAGTCTGGGAGTGGCTGGACAGAGAGGTAGGTGGGAGGTGAATCTGAGTATAAATGAGAAACTGAGTATATGTAAGAGAGGGACTGTGATGGCTTTAAACTAAATTTATTTTTCATCATATTACACCTCTGCTCAAAAACCTTCATTGGCTTCCATCTGCCCATCTTCTTCCTGCAGCTGACTTTCAAGCCCTTCAAAATCTTACCCAAGAAACCTTTCCATTTTATCTCCTACTATTCTCCCCCATACTCCAGCCAAATTAAACTATTCATTTTCCCCCCAGGCCACCTTTGTTCATCTAGTTCTCACTGCTGGGAATACCACTCACTCTTATATTTAACAAATATTTATTTAGCATCTACTATGTCCAGCACTGGGCTACGGACTAAAGGTACGGAAATGAATAAGACACAGTCCCTGTCCTAAGGAGCTCACTGTCTAGTGAGTGAGGGCAAACACTATCACAATATTCAGTGGAGAGAGATGAGTTCTGCCTCAGAAAGTAATACAGAAGTAGGCAAAATCTGATCAGGACTTTGAAGAAGTAGCAATTCAATTGCTAAAAACAATGGGGAGAATGGTATTTTGTGCAAAGGAAAGGCATCAAATATCTTGTGCAGGAGAATGACAGAATCCAATTGTCATACTAGGTTGTAATGAGGACTGGTGTGGAGTATGGATTTGAGGGGGAGAGCACGTGCAAGGAGATGAGTGAAAGGACCCCAAGAACGGACCTGGGGTTCCCAGTATGCCTATTCATTTGAGAAACATTTATTGAGCCTCCTCCAATCCTCCAGGTACCGTTCTAAGCCCTAGGGATGCAGCACTGAACTAGAGACCTGCCTCTACTGTTCTGTAGCTCACATTCTAGTAAGGTCCCTATGGCTCCAACAAACCAAAAGAGAATAAGGCCATCTCAGGAAGTTCCTATCTGGGGCTAACATTCAGTAGATATGCACCAGTATGGTTGTATGGATGAGAGAAATTTGTTGAAATATTTCTAATCCTGTTGAGAACTAGTTCCTAGCTTCAGGGTGCTCCGGCTACCTCCCTCCTCTCTGGGGACTCTACTGATCTCTTATCTAAAGAGGTCATGCCTGGCACAGCAGAGGCCCAAGGACCCCACTTGAACGCCCCAGCCAGCTGCCACTGTCATGAATCAGTACTTGTGTACCCACTACCCTGTTAGTTTTACTCTCTGTCCTGTCTAAATCCCTTCTATGGTTCAAGACTCAGCTCAAAGGCCACCTCTTCCACTTTCTGCCACAGGAAGAGATTTCTGGTGCCTCTGAACCATCACAGTTCTTTGCCTGCCCTTGCTAATAAACTTGCCCACCATCCAACTTATGTTATGGTGATTTATGACATTTTATCTGCCCTAATAGCCTTGAGTTCCATAAGGGCAGGGTGCATTATTTAATTAAGTCTTTTATTCACCAACCATTATTGAGCATTTTTCTCTCTGCAGATCACCTTGCCAGGACTTGAGAAAAACCACATTGACTAAGATGTCTTCCCTGCCCTCAGGGAGCTCAGTGGATGACTTGTGTTTGTCAAACCACGACTGTTCCAAGAGCATGGTCACATTTTTACAGCACCCCAAATTATCTGCCTTGTCAGACTGTCACACTGTATACCAAAATTTTCACAGAGCTGAACAGTTGCTGTTCGCCAAGGAGGCAGTCAGCCTAACAATCTGGGTTGCTATCTCTGGGGCCAAATTAAGAGCCATCCATGGAAATCTGATCCAGGGTGCAATGTGGAAGGTCAGCTTATTGTCTGGGTCAGCTGTGATGTCAGAACCTTGGTTAGACACTAACACATGGAGGGCACATGGTAGTATCTGAATTGGATGGACCTGGACAAGACAGAATGTGGTAAGATGAATCTAGTTGAGGTGGAAGAGTTCATAGGAAGCGCAGAAGACAGAAGCACCATGCTAACTGGAGCCTGGAGTCTGTATGTGTGGAGATCTTTCTCCAAGACCCATCCCAGCTTTACTTCATTTTCCCTCTTTCCAAATGTTCTTATTTCCATTGTTTTCCCATTTAGGTCCCTGTCAGGATTCCCTGGTACACTTCTCCGAAGCGCACTATATGTCCACATGTCTCCCTGCCGTCTCAGCTGCTTTTAGTCAGTATTTCAGAGCCTAGATCTGTGTCTATGAGCAGGTCTCTCTCTGTTTCAGCCTTTTAATTTTCCAAACGCCATTCTCCTGGTGCTCTTTCTTAAGCGCTCTGTTTCTGTGTGTGACTGTGTTTCTGGTCTGGGTGGGGAGTATAGACTCTGACCCTGGATCATGCCTTTGCAGCTGGGAGACTGCCAAACTCTAAAACAGGTTTGAGCTCCCAGAGTCTTATTCAAGGAGCTTTCCCAGGTTGGGACATGGTGTACTCAGGACCAACTGACTGGGTCACTCCCTGCCTGATGCATGGCCTCTCTGTGGTATTTATGGCCAAGTCTTTGGTGGTTAGGGTCTGTGTCTTCAGACATGTAGGGCCATGTTTCTGCTCATCCCACGGCTGCAGAAGAGACTCATAGTGATACTGACTACATGGGATTATCTGTCCCCTTCCACCCATGAACTCTTAGTGTGGACTGCCCTACATTCACTTGAGACAGTGTAACCAGTCCTCACCTATATGGTATCACCAGTTTCCTTACAACCCAAGTCCAAGGTACAGTCTGACCCAAAACTTTCTCTTTCCCGCCAACTAACCCTTCAAGTTGTTTTTCCCTGATCTAAGTCCAGCATTTCTCCTTAGAATTCTTAGAATGTCAGTGAGCTAAAGGGGACCTCAGAACCCTAACAGTACTCTGGTTCTTGTCTTCGGTTCCAAATTCCTAGGAGTCCACAGTGGTAGGAATGCAGGGTCTGAAGGTTTCTTAACATTTTGGTCTTTAATAGTATTTTTTTCCTAGTTAAAAAGTAATGCATGTGGGGCGCCTGGGTGGCTCAGTAGTTCAAGCGTCTGCCTTTGGCTCAGGTCATGATCCCAGGGTCCTGGGATCAAGCCCCACAATCAGGCTCCGTTGCTTCTCGCTCTCCCTCTGCCTGCAGCTCCCCCTACTTGTGCTCTCTCTCTGTCAAATAAATAAATAAAATCTTAAAAAAAAATGAATAAAAATAAAACGTAATGCATATATGCTCAAGCAGAAAACTTGGCAAAATGAGAAAAACGTAAGGGAATTTTAAAAAATCACCCTATTTGTTCCATTCACCCCTTTAACCTCAGCGATCCAGTGCCTAGCACAGATTAGGTGCTTAAAAAAATATTTGTGGAGTGCATTAACTTCAATCCCATCACCCAGAGATAACAACCGCAACTACCTCTTGACTACTTCCAGTCCTATATATGCTATACGTATATGGGATCATATTATACAAACAGCTTTGTTAGCCTGCCTTTTTTTGGTTTTGGCAATATACTCTGTTTTTCCATATTGATAGGTTTTTTACATTTTTAATGCTTTTGTATTATTCCTTCAAATAGCTGTGTCATAATTTTCCTAGTCAATTCTCTTTTTTTTTCCCCCTAGTCAGTTCTCTACCACTGGACATTTAGATGGCTTCCGGTTTTCTATTGTTACAAACAACACTGTACCACCCATTCTGGCATATATATTTTTGTCCACATATCTGGGTCTCTAGGGTGCATTTCTAAAAATGGAATTGCTAGGTCATAAGAGTAAGCACATTTTAAGACTTTTTTTTTTAAGATTTTATTTGTTTGACAGAAAGAGACACAGCAAGAGAGGGAACCCAAGCAGGGGGAGTGGGAGAAGGAGAAGCAGGCTTCCCGCTGAGCGGGGAGCCCGATGCGGGTCTCGATCTCAGGACCCTGGGACCATGACCTGAGCTGAAGGCAGACGCTTAACGACTGAGCCACCCAGGCACCCTTAAGACTTCTTATACATCCTGGCAAAATGGCACTGCCAATTTAACCTCCAGGGCTACTGTCAATTTTTCAAAAGACCTAACGAAGTAAGGAAAATCTGGTCCATTTTATCTTTGACTAGGTAGCACAGACTAATCAACTCCAAGCTTTAGCCTTTGGCCAGAATTACAGCAATTCTGACCATCACGTTAGTTACTAACGTTTACCGACCAGGAGCTAATGGGCTGTCAGGTTTTGGATCAGTATGAAAGGAGAAAACGAGTTAGTAACTTAAAACCTAAAACTATTTTTTTATTTTTATTTTTTAATAATTTTATTTATTTATTTGAGAGAGAGAATGAAAGAGAGAGAGAGAGCGCACGCGCATGAGAGGGGGTAGGGTCAGAGGCCCGATGTGGGACTCGATCCCCAGACTCCAGGATCGCCTGAGCTGAAGGCAGTCGCTTAACCAACTGAGCCACCCAGGTGCCCTAAAACTTTTTTTGTAATTTAAGATTTTATTTATTTATTTGAGAGAGAGAGAGAGAATGAAAGAGAGAGCACATGAGGCGGGGAGGGTCAGAGGGAGAAGCAGACTCCCCGCCGAGCAGAGAGCCCGATGCGGGACTCAATCCAGGGACTCCAGGATCATGACCTGAGCTGAAGGCAGCCGCTTAACCAACTGAGCCACCCAGAAGCCCAAAACGTAAAACTTTTGTCCAAGGGCCAAAATATTTCAAACCGTGTGACCCGTAAGGTTTCCTAGTAGTGAAAGCACTGGGGACGACTGGGCCCCAGAGTCGGGCACAGACCCAGGACAGAATATGTACGGTAATTATTGCCCCCTTCCTAATTTTACAGATAGGACACTGAGGCCCCGCTGGTGTCTGCACACCCGAATCTCCTGACTCAACGTCCACAATGCTGCCCCAATTTAGCGCCACTCCAGAGGAGGGCCACCCACCTGCCCCACTCGGCGCTGCCTGAGCGGGCTTCTCGCACCTGCAGCGCCGCCCTGGCGGTAGGGCAAGGCCGTAACGGCAGAGACTCGAAGCGGGTCGGCTGGCCGCCGCGCATGCTCCGTCCCGCGTGCAGCCTCCCGGCGCCAGGGGGCGCGCTCCTCTCCCCGGCCCCGCCCCCGGAGCGGTTGGGATTTGAATCTCCGGCGGGCTGCGGCCGGAAGGACCGACCCCTCAGCCCGGCATGGAGAGGTCGTGCGCCAGCGGACGGTGCCCAGTGCAAGAGCAGCGTGCCCGTTGGGAGCGGAAACGCGCCTGCACTGCCCGGGAGCTGCTGGAGACCGAGCGGCGCTACCAGGAACAGCTGGGGCTGGTGGCCACGGTGCGGCCGCGCGCGCCCTCCCGTATGGGGCGGGGACCCCAGGGTATGGGAGGGTCTCTGCGAGGTCGGTCACCCCGAGTGTTGGGTCTTGGGCTGCCCTTCTGCATGTAGGGAGCTCAGGAATTCTACGGTTTCTAGCGGCGGCTTGGCATTAGCCCCCTCTTCCTGCAGACTATATACCGGTATTCTTCCGCAGTATTTCGTGGGGATTCTGAGAGCCACGGGCACCCTGCGACCAGCAGAGCGCCAGGCCCTATTTGGGCCCTGGGAACTCATATACGGCGCCAGCCAGTGAGTAGAAGGGGTGTGGGGAAAGAGAAGAGGGAAGGCCCTGGCCTCTGGCAGTGCACGAAGCTTAGAGTGGGGGGAGACCCAGGTTCATATACGGAGTCTGCCAATTACCTCACCTGTGCTCTTGGCCCAGTGCCTTGCCGTGCCCTACCTTCCATCTGTAAAATGGGGTAATACCTCTACCTCCAGGGCAAGATTATGAGAATTCAATGAGGTGGTGCTTGGTAGTTGTTGGACTGCTCTTTTACTGTCCTCACCCACGCAGAGAGCTGCTTCCCTACCTCGAAGGAGGGCACTGGGGGCAGGGGCTAGAAAGCTTCTGCCCCCACCTGGAGCTCTATACTCAATTTGCTGCCAACGCAGAGAGGTCCCGGACCACCCTGCAGGTAACCCGAAGATAATCTCAAGTCCTTCCCCTCTTGCCCCATACACTGCCTCTTCCTCTGGAGCTCCAAACTTCATTCATACTGTTCCTACATTTATAGAGCCCCGTGGGTGTCCCCATCTGTCCTAGGTTCACTGTAGGGCTTCTCTCAGCACACGGCTTACAGAGGGCTGGGGGTGTGTACACAGATGAATACAATCTAAGGAGTGGCTTCTCTCCCTGCTGCCAACCCTTTCCTCATCCCTCCAGGAGCAACTAAAGAAAAACAAACGTTTCCGGAGGTTTGTGCGACTTCAGGAAGGCCGCCCTGAGTTTGGAAGCCTTCATCTTCAGGATCTGCTCCCTCTGCCTCTGCAGAGGCTCCAGCAGTGAGTAAACTCACCTGGACTCAGCCAGCTTCTCCTTTCTGAGTCTGTACGATTGCTGCTGTCAGCTCTGTGGGGTTTATGGCTTCTTTCCCATTGCCTCTCCTGGGACAAACTGCTCCTAAAAACCTCTTGCAAGAGTGTGAACCCACTGGAGTAGCTGGAGTCTGCAGCCTCAGCCCCTTAGCTAGGAATGTGGAACTCTGCATTGAAGTGAGGGGGCCTGTAATAGAGCTAGTGACAAGCAAGGTATCTGGAAGTTTGTTGAGATGAGAGGTTTGCCTACCTTAGACTTCTGTTCCTGGGGCTGTTAAGAGGATACAGTCAGGTTACCTCTAACATCCTCCTTGGGTGGATTAATTTTCATCTTGGGATCTAGACTCCCAAATTATGGTCAGTCTGCTCCTGACTCTTCAGTATGGGATGGAAGAGGGCCATGTGGTATGAGCCCAGGTTCTGAGTCCCAAATGAAAGAGGGGGATGCAATCATCAGAAGCAGATCTTTCCTGGCCTTGCAACTGAAGTGTGTGTCAGGAGCGATCTGTATGTCAGGCAGAAGGAATTCTGCCCGGCTCTACTTCCCCTCATGGACTCCCAGCTGTCTTAATTCCAGGTATGAGAATCTTGTCATGGCTTTGGCTGAAAACACGGGTCCCAACAGCTCTGACCACCAACAGCTCACACGTATGTTCTTGCTCCTCTGAAACACAGGCAAGAGGCTGCCTCTCCTGTATCCCTTTCTGGTTCTGACCAACAATGTCTGGTATGTCCCTGTCTTCCATTGACATGTACACAATGTGCCTGTTGCCCTGCCTACTCTCCAAGAGGTTATACCCTCACCCCAGTCCCCTCCAGAATAGCCTTTCCCCACCGTCAGTCACCCAAAGTCAAAGCTCTACTGGGAGTAGGGTGGGGGATGTTTTCCAGGGGCTGCCCGGCTGATAAGTGAGACCGCCCAGAGAGTCCACAGCATTGGTCAGAAACAGAAGAATGACCAGCACCTCCGGCGTGTTCAGGGTTTGCTCAGTGGCCGCCAGGCAAAGGGGCTTGCCTCAGGTAGTCTGAACACTCCCCTTCTCCCCCCCGCCCCCCAATCCTCAAACTACCCTTTTCTGACCCTCCTTTTTCTGTATTGCCAGCACATATGCCCCATTTCCTTAGCCTCCCCTTCCATCTGCTCCCATGGATCATGGTCCTGGAGCTGCACCAGAATAACAGCTCTCCCACCCCCCAGGTCGCTGGTTCCTACGCCAGGGCTGGCTATTGGTAGTGCCTCCCCATGGGAAGCCTCGGCCCCGAATGTTCTTCCTCTTCTCCGATGTGCTCCTCATGGCCAAACCTCGACCCCCACTGCACCTGCTGCAGAGTGGCACCTTTGCCTGCCGTGCCCTCTACCCCATGGCCCAGTGTCAACTCCACAGGGTCTTTGGCCACTCAGGAGGCCCTTGTGGTGGACTGCTCAGCGTAAGTTATGGGCGGGAGCCCTAGTTAGGGAGGAGAGGCTCAAAACAGACTTCAAATGCCTATGTACTATTTATCTCTTTGGCCTGGGCCCCCTTCCGAGGAACTAAGCCACCTGCATTGAGATAGTGGGGGCTTGGGGTTCATCCCTAGTTTTCACCTCAGCCCTGAATTAACCTCCATGGAAATAGCAAGGCCTTCAGCTTTAGCCTGGGCCTTTCTGAGCCATGCGCTAAGAGGTGATTTCTCCCTAGCTGTCCTTTCCCCATGAGAAGCTACTGCTTATGTGCACAGACCAGGAGGAGCTGTTGCGCTGGCACCACAGTTTGACTCTGGCCATCAGGTAAGATGTGCCTTTGCTCAGAAGACTGCTGTGATGAGGCCCGTGGGCGAGGAATGAGCAATTCTAATCCTATCTCACGTCTTACACCTGCTGGGCCATCCCACCCCCAACGCCTTGGGTGATTTTGTCTGAATAGAGTGCTCAGGCTAGTGCCTGAACTGTCTTCTCTCCACAGCAGCCAGAAGAACTAGAAGAATCTTAAAATTCCAGAACCCAGGATACTTGAGGGATAGGTCAAAGTCAGCAGTACAGAGAAATCTTCAGTATTAACTAAACAAAACACAGAACGCTTCATGGTTTGAGAAGGGTCATCTCGGGTTTGCTTGGGACCAAGCCGTGTCAGCTCATCTGACCAGCCCTTAAGAATCAGGAAACCAAGTCCGACCCAGCTGAAGCTCTGCTGAACCAGCCCCTCCAACGCAGACGAGGGGATTCAGGACTGATAAGCTCAGTGCTGGGTCTCTGGCTCGTTGGTTATCAAGACTGCAGCTTTGTAAATGTGGATGTTTTTATGTTGTATGCAGTTTCTATAATTTATTTTCCTACTGGATTTCAGTAAAGTTTTTTTTTTTTCTTAACCTTTTTGGAAAGGCCTTTCTGTCTCAGCTCTGCAATATGAGAAAGAAAGGTTTTTGTGCCCTGGAGGCTGGCATGATGGTGGCCTCAGGAATACAAGGAAAAGAGCTGGAGCTCCCTCTATCTCTCAGCTCTCACACTGGAAGTTGGCCTCTTTATCCTAATAAGGGAACCTTTTCAAGAAGGCCTAGTTCCTCTTGGGCACCTAGTATGGGTGTGTGTAGGACCAGCTGGAATGGAAAAAGCACACAGGAGTATCCAGTCACAAGAACAGACTTTGTTTTAGTAAACCTTCAGCTGTCATTTCTCCTTGCCGGCGGGGGCTGTGACTGCGGCCCTTCCCACAGCCTTGCTGCATCTTCTCCTTAGCCCCTGCTCCACTTCCCAGGGAGTAGCTAGGGTTCTTGTCTCTGTGCTCCAGCTTAAGGGCTCCTCCCAGGCCTGACTGTCACCAGCCTCCTCCTCCTCCTCTATACATAAGTCCTCAGGAAAGGGTATGCTGGCCTCTGTGAGGGGAAAGATCAGGCATATTCCTATCTCAGAGACTGTCTCTACCTCCACCAGACTCTCACCGCCCAACCCTTTACCTGGTTCTGGAATGTCCACACCCTTGTTTGGCTTGCTGTCTTGTAACAGCTGGTGGATGGTCTGAAGCTTCATATTCAGAAGCTCTTGCTGGGCTCCAGCTAGGGTAGTCACACTGTAGAAATACCCACTCAGAGGCTAGCCGATCTCTGTCCCCACCTCTTCCACCTATCACAGAGCTCCCCTGGCCACAGGGCCATTGCTCTTCTTACCGCTCAAAAAGGGGGTCCAGTTGGGCCATCAGATTGTTCAGGTGTTGCTCTGTCTGGGCCAACTGTTGTGTCAACTGGGCCAGCTGTTGCTCTGGGAGTAAGGGAGAAAAGGAGAGCAATGGTTATTCATACCTTCTGCTTTCCCCTAATCCCCTACCAAACACAGACTTGTGCAAAACCCACCTGACTGCAGTGATTCCTTCTTGCCTGCCTCTTCTTGGAGAACTGCAGCCTCATCTTTCCCCTGCTACAGAAGAAAGAGGGCTAGCCTGCAGCAACAAGCTTCTCCATCACCTGTGTCTCCAAAGCCAGTGAGAGGAGGATAATTTGAAGTCGAGAAAGCTATGGAGTTTTCACTTCAGAGAATCACATCTAGCCTAGCTCCCCACCCAGGACCTGAAGCAACCTGTCAGTATGCCCCCACACGTGGTCATTCAGTCTAACAAAACTCCCAGGAATGAGCAGCTCTCTCCAGTTTGAGAACGCTCTGGTTGTTAGTTCAAATACCAAACCAAAATTTTTCCTTCATGTATCTTCTTTCCATGTTGCCTTCCAAAATCATGTCTTTTCAACACGATAGCCGCTCAGGAATTTGAAGACAATGGTCCTTGCCCATTCCCCTTCCCCATGTCTTATCTGGTTTAATATCCCCAATTTTATTCAGTCAGTGCTCATCTGACATGGTTTTCCCTGGTTGCTCTACTGGGCATGTAGTGTTCTTAAAAGCAGTGCCCTGAAGAGAATAAAATTCTCCAGGGGTGTTCTGATCAGAAGATGAGGTGCAATACCTTGTTCCTAGCATTGATTGGGGAAATGGGTTGTCACATCACACGACTGAACTTTATTATTCAACTAATAAACTGCTGCTAAGTTCTGTTTCTTTCAGATAGCACTTGGGTCCACAAATAGAATTTATTATCGATTCTCTTTAAATTTCATCATTAAATTCAGTCCCTCATCCTAACCTATTTGGAATTATGATTAGCTATCCCTTTTAATTTCATACCATCTCCAAACTTGTTCAGCTCTCTACTTCCCAATGCAAATAAGTAATCGGGCCAGGTTTGAAGATAGAGCCGTGGGAAGTATTACTTTCCATCTCAACCATTTCCATACACTAAAATGTACTGTCAGTTTACATTTCAGGGCCTCCTCTCTAAGAACATGAGACTGGTGCCTTGGATATTGTGGCTACGGCAATCAACGCTTTGTGCCAAGATTGGAATTTTACCAGGAGCCACACTTTTATAGTATGGACACTTACTTGCTGGGTTCAAATCCCAGCCATACCAGTTTCAACTAGCTCTGCGTGACTTTGAGCAAATGACTTAATCTCTTCATTGGACTGTTGGGAGAATTAAATGTGGTGGTTATTATTTATTTACAATTTACCAAGCGCCCTTCACATCTGCTACCTCGCTGGATGCTCAAAATAATCCCCTAGTGTTGGAAAGCTAAGGAACTACAGTCTTCGTTTTACAGACTGACGGAAAGAAGTGTCTTTTCATGGTACCATAGCGCCCCCATGGGAGATTCAGGCCCGGGGCATCCCCACCCCTGGTCGCCCCGCACCTGCAAACACTTGTACAGCACAAAAGCCACGACAGCTGCGGTGTACAGCGCCCCCAAAGGCAGAGCTCCCGCCCGGGCCCGCTCGCGCTGGTCCTTGGGTGGCGGCCGACGCCGGGGTTCGGTGGCCTCAGGGCCGATCTGGGTGGGGTCCCCTGCGGAGGACGGCAGAGCTGGGTCAGTAGAGCTGGGGCCTGAGACCCGTGGGCAGTCCTAGCCTCCCTCCAGCAGCCCTCGCTGATACCTGGGTGTGCCCGGAGGTAGGGGCTGGGGCGGTCTCCGAGGACCCCGGGCAGTGCAGACACAAGTAGCAACCCCAGCAAACCCGCAAGCGAGACCGAGCCCACCATCGCCGACCACAGAACGAAGGCCTCGCCGGCACCAGGGTTAGCCGGGAGCCCCAGTGCGCATGCGCAAGCGGGGCGGCGCGTGGGTCCCGCTCCAGGTCGTGCGGAGAGGTCACGCCCATTTTTAGTGTGTGGGCGGGGCAGGCTTATTAGCATAGGACTTTGGCCCAACTTTGCTAAATGAATTAATTTCTCATCTATTTAGAATTCTATTAGCCAGAAGTTTCTAGAAGCCAACAATCTTTTAAGATTATGCTGGAAAATGGATTTTATTTCTTATGCGAGAAACCTATTCACCCTAATCAAAAAATGAGTACTTTGGCCAACGTTAAAAGACTAGAGCGGGGGCACGACTGGGTGTAGTTCGTGCTGAAGGCCTGTTTCCTAGGCTACAAACGAGGGACTGGTTCCTTATTCGTGCCTAGGGGAAAGTCCCCGGACCATTGGCAGAGAGTGCCGCGTGCGCGTGCACGTTGACTTTCCCTGCTTCGCACAATAATGTCCGCCAAGAAGCGATCCCGTCTGTAGCGGGGAAGCTGAGCGGCGTGTTGGCGGGGGCGTCGTCCGTCAGTATTTCTAGTTACGCAGGCAGTGCGCCTGAGCGCACCAACCACACGGGGCTCATTCTCAGCGCGGCTGACTTTTAGAGATGTTGACTATTGTGCCGGGTTCCTGTTGGCCGTTCAGACGCGGAACCACTTCCGCGTCCCTAAGTGGGATAATTCATCCCTGAACTATTCCCTCTTATGACTTAACACACTTTATGTGTCTTTTGCAGTTCCCTCTTCCTACAAGGGCCTCTTCTTCCCCACCCTCTCCAATTGGCAAATGCTTCTAATATCACCATTCATTGTGTAGCATGGCACACAGTAGACTATGGACTGATTGCCCGGCCTAGAATCCTGCCTCCACTACTCGAAAGCTAAATGACTTCGGGCAAGTTAATTTCTCTCTGTGCCTCAGTTTCCACTCTGAGGAATGGAGATAATGATAATACATATATGTGCCTCACAGAGTTGTTACGATGATTAAGTGGGATAATCCAAGTAAAGTGCTTAGAACCATACCTACCTCCTAGTGATTTTAACTTGAGCAGGTGCTCTGAGCCAGACACTTGAAATTATAACTCTCTTCGGAACCTTCCACTGCTATTTCCTTTCTGTACAGTTAATGTCTACACACCCTTCAGATCTCAGGTGTGTTTCCTTCATTCAGAACCCTTAACTTCGAATTTATTCATTAGTGCAGCTATTGTACTTTCTTTAAATCACCATCATGTGTTAGTTATATCTTCAATAAAACTGGAAAAAATCCATTTTGGTTCTTTAAAATCAGTTAATTAAAAATCAGTCAATCCACTAAAATTAATTATAAAAAGAAAATACCGCTAGACTGTAAATTGCAGAAGAGCAGGGGCCATATTTCTTTATCATTTTATTCCTACAGCTTAGCACAGCATCTGGCTCTAGCAGGCACTCAACGAATCCTTGTTGAATGAAATACAACCCAACAGGTAAATATAATTAAGCTCTTTTTTTTTTTAAAGATTTTATTTATTTGTTTGAGACAGAGAGAGCACAAGCAGTGGGGAGAGCAGTGAGAAGCAGACTCCCATGTTCAGCAAGCCGGGGTGGGGGGTGGGGGGGGCTGGATCCCAGGACCATGATGATGAGTTGAGCTGAAGGCAGACATTTTACTGACTGAGCCACCCAGGCACCCCTAATTAAGCTCTTTTAAAGAATGAGTCTCCGTTGGGTTCCATGCTCAGCGGGGAGTCTGCTTCTCCCTCTCCCTCTGCCCCTCCCCTTGCTCGTACTCTCTCTCTCTCTCAAATAAATAAATATTTAAAAAAATAAAAAATAAAAAAATAATGAGGAAACAAAGGTTCAGGACGGTTAAGTAAGTTCATCACGTAAAAGGCAAGTCAGGGATTGCAAAGCTTTTCTGTCGGTCTCCCTATCAGTTACCACATATCACCCCCCCACCCCAACCCCCAGCCCTTCCTTTCACTGCCAAGACCTCAGGCAGACCTGCAGAGTTTCCTTGTGTTTCATGCTGCCTTTTAATTGTCTGGGATACATTGGGTCGTCTTCCTAATTAGATCAAGAGCCCTTTGAGGAAAGAAACCATTTCCCACTCACATCTTTATCTCCAAAGCTTGGCACATAACCAAGCGATCAGCACAGGTGACAAATGAATGAGGTATATGCGTGCTAAATAAATGAATGAACTAGGAGTGTATCTTCTGTTCTTCCAGAAATGGAGGGGGCAGGGCAGGGAGGAGAGACCCACACTCAAGGGAGTTACTGTAGTCTAACTATCTAGAGACAGCCTGGTTACAGAGCAGTGTAGTCCAAACCTTGACCCTAAGCCAGTTGGCACAGTCAATGTATACAAGTGGTTCAGGCCAGGTATAATATGATAAATGGCCCTCAACTGATTGTAGCCTTTAGGGAATTTGGGCCCACTATTGCCAGACATATCACTGACCTCTGGTCTAAGGAACTTGAAATCCTTCTTCCACATCAAAAGCAGTCCATGTGGTTGGGCTGTATCTGGGCAGGGCAGGTACTCCACTCCCTGAAGTGAACAAGGGTGAAGACACGGCTCAGCTTCCAGGATATACTGGGGTAGAAGTTTCTTTAATTCAACTAACTTTTGAGATTGACAGTTCTTAGGGACAGTTTCGATGAAGTGGGTCGGGAGGGGGTACTCTAAGTTTCCACTAGCCCCTAAACTATTATCAGTAATAATAAGAATGACAATGGTCATCTTATCCCCTACAGTCAGTCTTAGGGTATGGTGGGATTGTAGGTACCTGGAGGCCTCCCCTTCTCATTCCTCTTTTTAGCATGTTCAGTGAGGAACACATTCTCTCTCACGGGTCTCAGAGTTGGAGAGAAAAGGCAGACACCTTGTGGCAGAAGGGAATCTGTCCTGAGGCCTAGCTTCCTTGTCTTGTTGGTCCTGCCTCATGCTACTTGTCTCCTGTCTTCATGGGCTCACCTGCACACTGGCACAGTAATCTCAGGCCTGCTTCTCTCTTCTCTGGCCAAAGAAGGTATAGGGCCATGAAAGTGGGGGGGGGGGCGGAAGCTTGGGAGATGCTGGGTGGCGCAGGTGCAGGCACAGGGCGGTGTCTTTGTTCTTTCACTCATCCCTCCCCTCCCCCTTCCTCCCCGGAAACCAGTGACTCTGCCACCAGCAGTATTGGGGATGCTGAGCTGTGGGGGCCAGGCCCAGGGAGGGGTGAGAGTAAAGGGGCCTGCAGCAGCTATCAGGCCATAAACCAGGCTGACCCCTCAGCAGAGGGCTTGCAGACTCAGCTCCCAGGTCAGCAGTCATGAGCAGAGGTGACAACAGCACAGAACTGCTAGTGCCTGGTGAGCTGGGCGGGGCAGGGGCAGGGGGAGGGGTCACATGGCCCCATGTCCCACCTGCTAGGACCTGGAGGGTTGGGCTGGGCAGTAACACCCTCCGTCCGCTGGCATCCACAGGAATCCCCACCGTGACCCAGGCCTGGGGACTGTGGGCCCTCCTAGGGGCTGCAGTGCTGCTGCTTCTCATCTCAGTGGCTACGCACTTGTTCCGATGGGCTAGCAGCCGGAGCAGGAGCCGTCCGGGACAGGGACGGTGAGTGGGGGACAGCAGAGGTAGGTGATCAAGAGCTCCCCGTTACCAAGAAGTCCCCTCATCCCCTCATCTCTGTCTTGCAGCTCTGGAGAATCTGTGGAAGAGGTCCCCCTATATGGGAACCTGCCTTATCTTCAGACTGGTAGGCGGCTGGCAGAGGGGAGGGGCACCGAGGCCACGCACGTCCCTGGTGGGTGGGGGTGGGATGAGGGATTGCAGGAGGAAGAACAAGAAGTGACCAGATTACTACTGTCCCCTTTCCCAGGTCGGCTGGCTCAGGAACCGGGGCCAGACCAGCAAGATCCGACTCCTAGAGGCCCCGTCACGGTGAGTCAGTTGGGGCTAAGAGGGGAGGGAAGGAAGTGGGGGCTTTTCCAAGGGTCCAGTGAACTTCTAACAGCCTTGAATCTCCAGGCTGCAGAGAAAGTGATGTGCTATACCAGCCTGCAGTTGCGGCCTTCTCAGGGCCATATCCCCAGCCCCGGAACCCCCATCAAGTACTCAGAGGTGGTGCTGGATTCTGAGCCAAAGCCCCAGGCCTCAGGCCCTGAGCCGGAGCTGTACGCCTCAGTGTGTGCCCAGACCCGCAGGACGCGGGCTTCCTTCCCAGACCAGGCCTACGCCAACAGCCAGCCTGCACCCAGCTGAGATGGAAGGGCTGGCAGAGTGGGACAAGCATCGCCCCCAGCCTCCTCTGCTGCAGGGGTTACTGCTACCCTGCCCTGGCATGACTGTTTCCCAACCACCCCCCAAAGACAGGTAGCCAAGGTCCAGTCGCAGGAGGTCATGTTTCCCAAACTTCCCCTCTAAGCCGTGAGGGAGACATCTCAGGGGAACAAGTAGGTCCCCAGTTTCTTGGGGATGGAGGAAACAAAGGCAGTGGCCCCCATTCCATCTCTCTCTCTCTTTCCTATCTTTTCCTCTAAGGCCCCAAGCTCCCAAGTTTCTCACTTCCTCCTCCTTGTGGATTTTAACCAGATCCTCTCTGCTCCAGCTCCCTTAAAGTCTGCCCCTTCAGTGTTCCCTCGGATACAGGAAGTGGGCAGTGGTGGAGGGGGTAAGAGCCTGAGAGGAGAAGGGTGGGTATATGCCTTGGGAGCCCACAGTCTGGAGGGATCCTGGAACCTAGTGACCTGAGGAACCCAAGCCTGGCTTCTTATCTGAGAACTCTGGCTGGAGAATACCAGTCTACATCCTGCTCTGTTATGTCCCCAAGTTTTCAAATAAAACTTCTCAGAAAGTGTTTAGATTTTTATCTAGAGGGCTTCAGACCTGCAATAGGCTCTACATGGTAGGAGTGTGAGCTTTGCTCTCTGCACAGAGCACTTCTGGGGGAGTCTTGCAGAGGAAGATGGACCAAGAGCGTCTGT